GAAGGAAAGGTATAGATTTGAGTATATTTATGAGGCCAGAGTGCCAAGCCATAAACTTGTCAGTAGCTACAGTGGCTTTTAATGTATAAAGCATCAGCCACAGATAGGGTAGTGTGGCATTTCAGAATGGATTAATCCAGCCCCCTGGTGATAGAGAAGGTGGCTTCCAAAGACAAGCCATTTGCTCTCCCTTTTGCCTTCAAGGGGTGGAGAGGGCCTGGCCAGCTCAGTGCCTTGGCCCCAAGGTTAAATGGCAGCAGCTTGCAATATCTGCAAATGGAAATTACTAAGAGATAATTATTGCCCTCCAAAGACTTGCCTGAGATTTGTGCAACATACTTGGGGAGTTCACTGGCATGATTAGTATTGACCCAGATGACAGTGCATGCCGAGACTTGTCTGCACTGATGATTTAGTAGCGTGATGGGGCCCAGAAACAAAACACCTCTCCCTTTTCACCAGGCACTTTTATTTGCTAGGTAGCTCATAACTTAGTACTCTCTCCCCTCCTCCTGCTAAGAGAGTTGCTTCCCTTTGTCTCTCCTATATTTAACTGTGACTAAGCTTCAGTGTTGATCATGTCAACATTCAGTTGTATGTTTCACACAATTCATACTCAAATTCAAAGCGTCACATCATCTCCAGCCTCTCCTTTTGAACCCTAGCCAGAGAACAAACTGCATTCATTGTAGCCGTCTGGACCTGCTGCCTGTATTTTCTTCCTGAAATAAGCATCCTCTGTCTGCATAGGCTAGGGCTTTCTTGCCACAGATGGTGGGGAAAGCCAAATGACCAAGAACATATACCCAGTGGCCCCAGGAATGTGCCCAGAATTTCCCCTCTCCTAATCGCTTGTAACCTTCTGCCTTTGTTGCTTTAGACTAATGATATTCTTTAATTATCTTAAGCATCTGTGCCTTCTCGCTGCTCTTTAAGAACAGAGAGCAGGGTCCTGCTGTGTAGATCTTGGCCAAAGCTGAAGCTGGACACTCATCTGCTGTAGTAAAGGGGCATCAGGGGCTAAGGATGTAGTTGTATGGTAGAGCATATGTTTAGCATGTGCAAGGCCCTGGGTTCAATCCCCAGTACTATAGGAAAGGAATGGGGGGCATCGGGTTTGGAATTAGACTCTGATAGGGTTTGAATGACAGCACTCACACTCTGACCTTGGTGAGCTTATCTTTCTAAGCCTTATTTTCCTAATTTTAGGCTTCTGCTTTGGTTTTCTACTGTGCAAGGGAGGTATAGCTATGAAATACAGTGTCCTAGGACACATTCCATTGGGAATTTTGGAGCAAACATTTGCAGTAACTCCCTGGTTACTGTTTTTAACGTTCTTTGAAATTTGTTTTTATTGTATTTTTGTGTATTTTATACTGAATATTTCAAAGAATCTTAATCATCTTTATACCCCCGTCCCCACCAGCACCCTCTCACAGCTCCCCCGACTGGAACCCATATACTATATCTTCTATATTAAGGTCCAATGTGTCCCCAGATGTTCCCCTGTGCAAGTCCATCCACTGAGGTCTAGTCAGCCTATGTAAAGTCTCTTGTTTTAGGAGCTCTTCCTCACCCAGCAGTCATCAGCTGCCATTGCTTCCTCGGCTAGAGCTCATTGTGTTAAGGAGGAAAAGAAACAATGGTCAGAAATGTAGCTAGAAGTTAAATTGTTCTGGAGAAATGTGTCTGAATCTTAGAGAAAAATGATTCATTCTGTAGACAGTTACTTCTGAGCTGGTGTGCCCTTGAGTCTTAGATTCATGTCTAATCACTATCAAATGGCTATATAGATATAGACTCTCATTGACAAAGCAGTGAGCTGACCCCTGAAGTACATTACCATTTCGGGCAATAGTTTGCAGTGGTGCGTTTTCCAGTAATCCCGATGAGTGACTCATGTTTGTCTTCACCACCTCCACCCTCTGCCCAGTCTTCGCTCCCCACCTCCCATGCCTGTGTGTTTGAGACACAGCAAGCAGAGATGGTTCAACGAGGTTGGGCACACACCACGTGTCTTTGTTGAGAAGTTTAGAATGAGGTGGCTCAGTTATAGCCTCAGCTTTCCTGCGCTTGCTGCCTGAAGTGACCTCTCTTAGCCTGTTCCTCAGCTACAAACGACATGTCAGCTTCGTAGCAGACAATGGTGACTGTATCTTTTACCAGGAGTGTCAGATCTCTCTTCTAAGGGAGTATTATTTTACGTAGTTTTTATTTCTGTATTTACCTAGTGTGTCCTACAGCAATGCATCAGAAATGTGTATGGAATGTTTTGAAGCGTGCGGTGTCTCGTACCCAGATCTGTCACAGAGCCTCAGTGAAGAGCAGTGACATCTAACGTGTTTGCATTCCACAAGTCAGTGTGGCTGGGCAGCGCAGCTGTCTGAGTTATTGTAAGTGTAAGAGGCGAGACTCAGCAATTACCCAGTTTGCGGCAGCTCTTTCCCACTTGCTCGTGTGTTTATTTCTCAGCGCTGCCCAGTCCTAATGACATAGCTGTCGCTCTTTGACAGAGCATTTCAGCTAGCAGGATAAGGGAGTGCACTTGTAGCAATGACACCATCTACCCCGGGGTAGATGTTTGCTCTTCATTCACTTACCCCCCCCACTTGCTGTCTCCAGTGTTCGCACCCTCCCTCCTTCTTCCTTCCCTCTCTCCCCCTTTACTCCTTCCGCTCCTTCCTACCCTCTTTTGTTCTCCCCTCCTACTCCCCCTTCCTTCACCCGTCAGTCGCTCCTTTGCTTCCTCCCTCTCTTCTTTCCCAATCATCCACTTATTCTTCAATAATCGCTGCTGCATCCATTCCCCCTTCACTCATTCCGTTGCTCGTTCCTTTATTCCTTCTCTCTCACTCATTGACCCCCTTGCTTCCTCCCTCTCTCTCTCTCCCTCCTTCCATCACTTAGTCTCCATTAATTAATACTTTTGATAGCAGTTGGCATACCGTCATCTCAAATTAGGAAACCTGTCGCAGAGCGTTCACTCAGAACATTGTGCCGCCGAGGGGGCTCATGAACAGGTGCTCCTGAGGACTAGCAGGAGCCAGTAATTTGAATGCCACATGGTTTTCTCTTTCACTCTGCACTTCTGATTCCCCCTGGTCACTTTCACTGCAGACTCGCTGCCTCACCCATTCTGTCCTGGTCAAACTGTTCCTAGTCTGATAATGTGGTCATGTAACTTGGATCAGATGCCATTCTGCATGTAACAGCAGGGCTCGATTATGCAAACACATGGGGGCTCTTTCAGAGGCTGTGCAGATGAAGCGAGGGGAGGAGCACAAAGGGAGATGCTTAGCAGAGCTCCCAGACATGCACACCCACCCTGCCAGGCAAAGCAGCAGCTGCTGGGAATGCATAAAGCCCCCTGTGGTTGCTTGCATCCAGGTAGCAGGAGAGGGATGTGCTGCTAAGCAAGCGTGGCAGACTTCTGTTGGTTCTATGGAGTGTGTGAGCTAAAGAGGACAAAAGAGGGGGTCAGTGACGTCAGGTCAGACATACTTAGCATGTGTCCAGCTCAGCATGTGCCTTCTGCAAATACATGATGACATGACAGGTATTCTGAAGCCTGTGAGTAAGTAGCCTTGGCATTTTCTAAGTTCAAACCTATGTACTTTTTCATAAAGAGACCTCCCCTTTTTGAATTGATCATTGAGCGGTTTTATTTGGTTGATTTGCAAGGGAAGAATGACCTTGAGTTTCAAAATTTGTTATTGTTTAGAGAATTTAAACAATCTTAAGTTTTAATGTTCTTTGATAGGAAATTGGTTTTTAAAAGAGCACCAACAAAACCAATTCATTCTGGGGTTTAGTGGTACATGCCTTTAATCCTAGCACTCAGGAGGCGGAGGCAAGGAGATCTCTATGAGATTGAGGCAAGCCTGGTCTATATAGCAAGTTCCAGGCCACCTGGAGCTACAAGGAGACCTTGTCTCAACAATTGGTATCTCAATACCAATTCATTAATTTGTTCTATAGTATAGGTGACCTGGCACTAATTTGGTTTTGTTGTTGTTGAGACAAGGTCTCACTGTGTAGTTCCAACTTTCCTGGAACTCACTATGTAGACCATCCCAGGCTGACCTGCCCCTCACAGAAATAAACCTGTCTCTGCCTCCCAAGTGTTAGGATTAAAGGTGTGCACCACCATGCTCTGCTCTAACCTGCTTTTGTAAATCATGAGCTCCTTGTTTAAGGAATACAGGACATTGTCTTGTTCCTTGCCAAGGGGCCTTGCCCACAGTCCCATCATTGCTGTGGTCCACACATGCTCATGATCCTTCCCTTCAGCATGCGTTTTCCAGACAGGCTGTGTGCTTCTTGCCTGTCTCCTATCGTGTTGCATGGTCTGTGCTCTGGCTGGGACATTTTACTCCATTCTGTTCGTGGCCCTGCTTGTCACATCTGTGCTCTACTGGGGCTTCTCGTTATGTTCAGTCTCTTCTTTGTATCCTTGTTTCCCCTAACTTAAAAAAAAAAAACAAAAAAAAAAACTTTTGAGATGATTGTACTTGTGTATGTGGTTGTGAGAATTGAGAGATCCCCAGGGCTTTTTGCCAGTTGTCCTGTGGTAGTAACATCATGCACAGCGGCTGCGGTGTCCCAGCCGGGATGCTAGCATCGGTCAGGCTCAGATAGAGAGCAGGAGCTCAGATGCTCTGTGCACAGCTTCCTTCTTCTTTCACACTGTGCTCTTCCTGCTCTTTTCACTTTTTAAAAATTCCTTTATCCAAGGATTTAGATGAGTCAGGGGACCTACAGGGCTTACCTTCTACTTGGCTGAATTCTCATGCCATCAGAGCTTCTGGAAAAGTAATTTCTATCTGATAAGTATCATTTGGATGACTCAAGGTCACCTTAAAATTCACAAGAGGACGTGGACCTCTGTGGGCTCAGCTTTAGGCCCGTCACATGAAAGTGCACAGTATATACAGGGGCTAGTGTGGTATTGCTATTTATGACCTAAGGTCCTAATCAAAGGTCTCCCCCAAAACCCACAGGACAGTTCTGCACGGAAGATGTGGATGAGTGCCTGCTACAACCCAATGCCTGTCAGAATGGAGGTACCTGCACCAACCGCAATGGAGGCTACGGCTGCGTGTGCGTGAATGGCTGGAGCGGAGACGACTGCAGCGAAAACATCGATGACTGTGCCTTTGCCTCTTGCACGCCAGGGTCTACTTGCATTGACCGTGTGGCCTCCTTTTCCTGCCTGTGTCCAGAGGGGAAGGCAGGTAAGGCCTGTGGACTGACAGAGCAGGAAATGAGTGATGGGGGGTGGTTAAGCATTGGGCTTGGGCCTTCTCTTTCACTTGGCCCCTGCTGAGGGACAAACACAGGACCATTCTTCCAGAAATGCAGTTTGGGGAGAAGGACAGTGAAGTTATCCTTCGTCCTTTAAGACTTTCAGCTCTCATTTCAACGCTGTGCATTTCGGATTTTCCTATTCTTCCCAGAAGAGAAAAGCAAGTTAACTAAGGTCTTTGGAACATCTGTAGAACTTGTTAAGACTTCAGACTGAAAAACACCTTGGAAATTCAGACTAAATAACTAATAAATGGACTCCCAGAGTTGGCAAGAGAAGCACTTAAGGGCATTTCAACCTCAGGGCCTGTAAAAATTCTTTTTAAGGAAGCTGTCTTCAGTCTGCAAAGCCAGCCTCGCTTTCTAGCCTCTCAGGGGGACAGCTGGCTTTAGTGTAGGAGAAGAGTGTAGGCACAAAGACATTAGAAGAAGAAACTTTAGCCAAGAGAACTTTCTGCCCAGCGGTTTAGAAACATTGTTCTTATATTTCTGTCTTTCCCTAAGCCTACCTCCAGCTCTGTGGAAGAAACCTTGGCTAATTGCAGACTAGAAAATCCAGTTCTCACTGGAACTCTGCAGAACAGGAAGTTTAGGAGTATCACTTCTTCCCTCCTCCACTTCCACAGGCCTGGCCACTTGGCAGATGCTGCCTGGCACCTGATCCAGGAATGTTGATGTGATTAAACGGCTGCTCTAGAAGAGAGAGCTGATGCTCAGTTCTGAGGCTAGTGCGATGCTGGTGAGCCTGTGGTCATTAGGTAGCATGACCTTGGAGCCGGAGGCCACTGGATAGAACACAGAAAGCATGGACTATTTCACACATATTTGGATTAATTTTTTTATGTTTATCAGAAATTCACATTTAACTGAACAACTGCTATTTTTGTTTGCTAAACCTGGCATACTCTCCACAAGATATCTCCATTTTCCTAGGTTCCTCCTTTAATGTTCTGGCCTGTACGTACCACTGAGTTGGAGGAGAGCTCTAGTGGAGGGCTCAGGCGGGAGCCGAGGGTTGTATGGAGCAACTAAGGGCTGTGGCATGTCCCTAGTGAAGGATGAAGCAAAAGGAAAAATTGCCTCCAGATCTTAAAGTTAGATTTTGATTGTCTACAGAGAGCTCTTCTCTAAGAGACATTTTCTCTGTATTCCCTTTGACCTACCCTGGAACAGGTCTCCTGTGTCATCTGGATGATGCCTGCATTAGCAATCCTTGCCACAAGGGGGCGCTGTGTGACACCAACCCCCTGAATGGGCAGTACATTTGCACCTGCCCACAGGGCTATAAGGGGGCTGACTGCACAGAGGATGTGGATGAGTGCGCCATGGGTGAGTACCAGACACCTTTTCTGAGCTTGGAGTTTGTGTCAGCTCAGCAAGTATTTCAACAGGAGCGTGCTGTGTGCTAGAAGCCTGCCACACCTAAATCTCATTTTTTCCTGTTCCGCCGTGCACACAGTTTACAACTAATCTTTCCTGCATGACCATAGACCCCATTCTGGGAATTAAATGTGGCGAGTCTGGACTTGATTTTATTTATTTATTTATTTTTTGAGACAGAGTCTGCCTGGAGCCCCAGCTGGTCTGGAACTCATATGGAGACCAGGCTGACCTTAATCTCATAGAGATCTACCTGCCTTCCAGTGATGGGATTAAAGGCGTGTGCTACCATGCTCAGCTCTGGGCTTGATTCTTAATATAAAATTCTACCTCAGTGGGACTTTGGGTAAAAGAATAGCAGAACACACAAGATTAGAGAGCTGTCTTGTCTTCCCCTCCCTTCCCCTTCTCTTCCCCTTCCCCTTCCCCCTCCCCTTCCACCTCCTTCCCTCCCTCCCTTCCTTCTTTCTTTTTCTTTTGTGGTTTTGAGGATAGAACCCAGGG